CCTGGCAATCAGTTCATGCATCTGTTATCAGGATGTTAAAAGGGTGTTAGTGCCTGGGCTTTATGCATCTCTGCTGGAGGATGAGGGGTACTGGTGATGTTTAAGTAAGGCTAGGACATATCTGTTTGAACTGCGGAAAAGGAGCAGAGAAAGGCCATTAGCCTATCACATCAACACACTCCCATCTAGATTCCTGTCTTGATAAAACCCAAGATATCTCCTCAGTGAGAAAGCGAGTAATTCAAGAATATACCTTCCCATTTCTTTCTATCCACATGTTCTGAATGGTCAGAAAGCCCATGGGGGGCTTCTTAAAGTATAGATTCTAAAGTAGGGCTGTCAGACCCATCGAAGAAACTACAAGATACCTAGTAAGCTTGCATTTCACATAGACGATGAATAATTCTTTTCAGCATAAATATGCCCCATGAAACACGTGAAATAGTCTAACAAGAACAACAACAAAAATCTCAGCTTATTACTCACCTGAAGTTCTAATGTCACTACGTGTTTTGAATTTCTGCAAAGTAAATTCACTTTCACCCTTCACCAGGGCAGCCTTCTTCTAAACTGCATTTAAATCCCAGGTCCTTAAAGTGATAGTGGCGGTATCTCACTCCACAAGTTGGGCAAGTGTGAGGACACAAAGGGGACAAGTGTGGAATGCTGAGTCACTTGGTGTTATACTCGCTCCCAAGCTCCTACTGTCTGCCAGTGAGGTTTGCAGTTAGCAGAATGTGGTACACCCAGTAGTTGTGAGCGTGCTCCGAGAACTCCCATGGATAGCTGAAACCATGCCTCACAGCAAGCCCTGTAAATGCTACGGCTTTCGTCTGTAACTGAGACAGCACTGAGAGACTAATGAGTAGGTAGTGTGTACTCCAGAAATGCTGGGCAGAGTGATGATTCATGTCCTGGACACGATAGAGGAGGAGATTTTATCACGTTCAGAACAACATACAATTTATAACATGAAATTACTGATTTCTGGAATTTTCCACTAGTTTTTGCAGAGCATGGTTCACTACGGGTGATGGAAACCACAGAAACAGTATCTCTGATGAAGTGCAACTACTGTGTTCCGGTTTAGATCCTTCAGTGGTGCCCTAGCTCCTGAGCCCTGACTGACAGAAGGAAGGGTAGCTGAAATGAAGTTGGCTGGGAATGGCGGAGTGGAAAAATCCAGACCCGACTATCATGCTTGGGAGCTAGTGTGGGCCAGGCTGAGGTTTGAGCCCTGAGGGCCTTGGGCTTTCCACAGATCATTAGACCTAGGAGGTTATTCTCCTAGCTGGGTTCAGGAAAACACCTGTGTCTCACAGTGTCTGGCCATTCTGAGCAGGACCATGGTAGACACATCCTGGTTTGATGGCCATACACACTTCCTGTAGGTGACCCTGCCTATGTGTGTATCCCAAATCCAGGGGTATCTGGCTCAGATCTCCTGGGATCCTTCCCCACCCAGTGATATAGGATTTCTTAAAACTCCAGTTTGGGATCTAGTCAGGAAAACATGGCCAGCTGAACATATGCTGAGCCTCGGCCCTCAGTACAAACCTTCAAGAGACCTCTAGATGGCTGTCCCAGGGTGACTTATGTCCCCAAACATGCTTCTCTGACTTACTGAAGGTCACAGGTACCTGTGCCATTTTCCCGGGGTTGTTCCGCCATGTTGGTCAAGCTCCTTGTCTTTGAAGCTGAGGTCGGAGCGCTGAGACTGAAAACATATTCTCGGTAAAAGCTAAATGTGAGAGACCCAGAACTGGTGAGCGGAAGTCCTGCGGAAATAGAATTGTCAGACATCTCCTGAAAGACCTTCTCTGGGCCAAGCGTTTCAACACTTGGTAAACCCAACACCAGCTTCAATGGACAGCACACAGGGCTCTGGGCAGTTGTCTTCTTCAGCTGTTTCGTTACCATAGGAGCAGGTCATCTACTCCCGAACACCATACGGGGTGCCAGAGCTGTGTGAGCAGAGTCAGAGGAGAAGACAGCAGATACTCCTATCTGCTGATGAGCCCCAGGAGACCTGCCCTGGAGGAGAAACAAGAACACTGTTGGGGGTGAGGAACAAGGGACCCAAGGATCCTACCTGTACTCACCCTCTTCCCAGGACCTGTACACTCTTGGATCAGCTTTCTCCTGCGTAACCTGTCAGGGGAGGGAGGAAGATGATCATTTCCTTTTTGATTTTATGTTTTACCACTTCGAAGTCAAATAGTTCACTTTAAAAGGAGAGTGTGCATCAGACAGTGTGCAATATCAAACTTTGGGGCTTTTTGGTGTTATTTCCAACATTTGCTGTCCCTAACTACTTAGATTATTTTATCATTTGCCAGCATATATCAACTCACTGGGGGTGGGGTAGGGTTGTTTGTTTTTGTTTTTCTGACATGGTTTCTCTGTGTAGTCCTGTCTGTCCTGGAACTTGCTCTGTAGCCTTGAACTAAGAGATCTACCTGCCTCCAAAGTGCTGGGATTAAAAGTGTGTGCCACCATCATCTGGCTCAACCCCACTTTTTAAAACTGAAATCACCCATAAAAAGAAATAAATAAAACCAATCCTGAGCAATATTTGAAGCATTGTACCAGTCATATTTTTTTATTACTTAAAAAATACATACATCTACATCTAAAAAGAGTGTTTCCGCCAGGCGGTGGTGGTGCATGCCTTTAATCCCAGCACATGGGAGGCAGAGGCAGGTGGATCTCTGTGAGTTTGAGGCCAGCCTGGGCTACCGAGTGAGTTCCAGGAAAGGCACTACACAGAGAAACCCCGTCTTGGAAAAAAAAATCTAAAACTCAGGTCCTTGACCACCCTATTTAAAATCCCAAGCTTCTCCTCTCCCTGGCTGCGACTGCACAGAGCACTTACCGGCACTTTACGTGTTGTATGCTTGGTTGCTGCCTTTAGCGCTACTCAGCTCTCCTTCCCTGCAACAGAATGCAAACCCCGGGAGAAAAGGGATTTTTTTTTCTTTTAAATATTTCGAACTCTTAGGCCACGTCTAGCACACAGTAGGGGGACCCACGGAAAGTATTTTAATGAACGAACGTGGAAGAGCAGTCACAGTTATGTCTCACTCTGGGGCCTCAGTGTGGTCTCCCAGAGGGTCGGACAGCCAGGCCTGACTTCTGGTTGGCCTCAGCTTCATTCACTCTTAGGCTGCACAGGACACCCCTCCCCCCACCCTCCCCCGGGCCGTGAGTGGGTCCTCCTCACCTGAATTTGTGGCAAACATCAAGTAGCAGGAGGCCTGAACACCTGTTTTGAACAAACTAACGGAAGAGGTTCGCCTCGCCTCTAGAGATGCACTGGACGGGAACACCAAGACAAATTTTTGTGCTCAGGCTCGTGTTTGCCTAAGGGCATCTGGCTTTTTCTTTTTTCTTTTTTTCTACTGTGCTCTGCAGGCATCCGAGACCCGACCCGCCGGAACCTCAGCCTCTCGGATTACCGGAGCAGGGGAGATGGGACCACCAGAGGGCGCCGGAGCCCAGCCTCTGACGTTCCTTCTGCACAGGGCCCACAAGTTCAGAGTTGATAGCATCGGGAACGCTCAGGACAGTGAAAAAGCTGGTGGAAACGGATGACTGCTTTCTCTGCAATGTTACTTTTTAAGCGCACGGACCAGGTCAGAACGGTTCCTGATTTGAAGTTTGGTCCCCACAGTGCGCCTGACAAATGAATGTGTGCAAAGGGCTTGGCGGAACCGCCGAAGACACTCTCATGGCTGGGACATTTTCCTGTTGACCCCTGCCTCCCTTTAGTCCCTAGGTGGAGCCCCAGGTCCAACAGTCCTGGCTACTCCTTCAAAAAGATGATCCCCAGATTGTCCTGAGACAGGGGCATGTCTCCATTGTATTCCCTCTTGGGTGGACGTGGTAACAGAATCCAAATCACTAAGTGGCTATGCGCGAAAGGTGCTGACAGGATGGCCAACACTGCCTGTGGCAGAGGAAGGTCGAAGGACGCTGCCCTCAGCCTCTGGACCCCCGGGCTGGGGTCCATCTGCTCTCCTCCTGTGTTCCCACCCGCAGATCCCCACACCCGGGTTGGGGTTGTTTTGGTTGACCAGCATGCACAACGGCCTACCGGCAGAGCTGAATGTTAATGTGTGTGTTTATAAAGACACCAATGACCACCTTCGGAAGCACCGACTTAGGGAGTAGGGCGGCAGGGAGTTCTTTCATCCTTTGGAGAACACTAGCCTTTCTTCGGGAAAGGCAGGCAATACTGAAGTTTAAGGAGCTGTGTCCAGCTTCCATCATCTGAGCACACAATAAAACCAAGCGTTAAGTGTGAGTCACTACGTTCTGCGGGAATGAGTCTTTCAGTCAATTCTCCTCCGTTTCCACTCTGCAGGGTGATAACCCACCCCTCCAGCCGACAGAACAGGGCTACGGAAGGGAGATGGCAAAGAAAATTCACGTGTACTGACAACTTCTAGGAGAGCTCCTTGGTCTCCTTCCACAGCAGCAAGCTCCTCATCAGAATGCCACTTCCCAGGGTTTAATAGCGGTGATGCTTTGACGGGGAGTCCAGTTATTCTGACTGCAGACTGGTCACATTGCCTTAAGCCTAGCTGTCCCCCTGTGGCAAAGAGCCTGGGCGTGCGGTGGGTCAGCTTAAGGTCCTGGCACCAAAGACAGGATTCTCTAACAACTTTTGGATGGGGCGCAACAGACCCTGGCGCCTGGAACCAACTGTTTTGATCCATTGATGTTTATTTCACCGCTTTCCCCTTCGACAGCCACAGGCCCTACGTTTCTCCATCTGCATGATAGGAGCATTACGCTCTCCAGCCCAGCCTCTTCGCAGTTCAGGTCCAAGCAGCCGGCCCAGGTTGGAGACTAAGGAGATCAAAGGTCCCAGCACCCAGCAGAGCCTGGGACAGCGAGGGCGCCAAGGGAGGAGGGAGGGAAGGACTGGAAGGGCGGCTGCTCCGCAGGGGATGCGCGTCAGAGACCCCAGCCACACTCCAGGCCCGCCCCTTGACGAGCGCCGCCCCGCCCCGCCAGCCTTTCGCCTCTAAAGCGCCCAGCGCGAGTCTCCCGCTGCCGCACTTTCACTCTCGGTCCACCTCGGTGTCCTCTTGCTGTCCAGCCCTGCAGCCTCCGGCGCGCCCTCCCGCCCACGCCATGGACGCCAAGGTCGTCGCCGTGCTGGTCCTGGTGCTGGCCGCTATCTGCATCAGTGACGGTAAGTGCAATCCGCGCCCGGGCCCGGGAAGGGCTGGAAGCTCTGTGCCGTGGCTCCTCCAGGTCCGCGGTTCCTCTACCCGCGCCAGAGTCGCAGAGAAAGAACTCGTTTGGCTCCGCTGACCACGAGCGAACTTGAGGCAGCCACTTTACAGGGCACACTCCCTCCGGGTGCCCTTTTCCGTGTCGCACGTGTCGCACCGAGGTTTTGTGTTCTGCGAAGCGCCGCAGTAGGACCTAGAGAGAGGGCTGTAGGAGAGGACCGGCAGGGTTGTTGGGCAAGCGTGGGGCCAGCGTGGAATGGAAGCGTGGGCGGTGGTGTCCTGGGCTGTGGGCCCCAGAGCGCGCCAGCTGCACTCAGCTAGTGTCCACCCGCGCCCAGATGTTTCCAGAGGCAAAGGGCAGCGCGGTCCCAGGGCTTACGGTGAGGGAGATTGGTTCGGTTGGTGCGTGTATAAGCAAACTCTTGATGGCTGGTCAAGTAGCCCAAAGTGCTTGGCTTGGCTATAGATACGGTGCAGCTGAGTTTTGTCCCCTCCGAGCGGAGCGGGTCCTCTTACAGCATCCTTGAGGGGCTCGGGGCCAGGCGTGGCGCAGCTCTTGAACTCGCGCCACCAGCCAGGGGAGCGCTTCTGCACAGGTCGTTGGTCCGTAGCGACGCGGACCTGAGCGCGCGTCTCTTCGGGACCCCTTTTCTTCTTCCCAGGGTCACTAGACAAAGGAGCAGTAGTCACCCAAACCATGCACACCTCTCCCCAACCCCCAAACACACCTGCAGATGGGCGCTTTTGTAGCCAGCCCCGGGAGCCCCCTGCTCTGCAATGGGAGCTGCAGCGGAGTTCAGTCTCCCAGACCCAGGGTGGTGTCCCGTTTCACTGGGAAAACGCTTTCATTTTGTTTTCTTTTTTTGACACTGAAGAGAAAACTCTCCGCGCTGTTACAGGACACCGCTGCTGTAAAACAAAACAAACCATTGCCTCCGAACACACAAAACAAAACCCTACCTAGTCGAACCCCTGCCTTCCTCAGCTGCGATGTTTCCTGGAGAGAACTGAGGGACTCTTGGTGAGGCTGAGAACTGTATGGGGTTCAAGTTCACCAGAGCGTTGGTCTAGTTTCTCACCCCGTGAACAACGAAATCCCAGTAGCGGTGGAACCTGTGTTTTGTTGAGTATGGTTGGAAAGGCTGTAAATGCTTAGTCGGATGGAAATGTTCTCTAAAAGCATAGTGAGTTGTGATCGGAGTAGTGAAAAACACAAATGAAAGGCAATTTAGCTGGTTGTTTTTTTCCCTGTTAATGAGAACGTCTAGGAGGCTGCAACTTCCCACTGGCCGCGTTATCCCGTCATGGAGCACGTTGATTTGGGCATTAATAACTGCATGAGCCAGTGAAGTTGCAAGTGTCACAGTTGGAAAGTTGGGTATGAGACCGGAATGCAGGAACCCAGGTACTCGAGGCTAGAGTGCAGTTTCCAGAGTAAATGGGAATGCCTCACCCTCGGGCATGTTCTGACCCTTGGAAGAGTCGGATTGTTCACCTCTCTACAATCCAGTGTCTCGGTCGGACCCTGTTCTCTAGGCAGGACCTATTGCGTTGCCCAAATGGACTCTTTTCTTATCTCCTAGCATGTGCGCCCTCTGATCCTTCACAGCACCTAAGTTGCAGCATGGCTAACCTTGCTACGGTTCCTCTTTCCCCATCAGCAGATCCAACTCAGCGGCCAGACCCTAGGCATCCTAGGCTTCCCTGGTCAAACCCTGGGCAGGAGACCATGTTAGAGTGGGATGCACTCGGGCTCTCAAGCCTTGCAAGCTCTCTAGGTCCCAAGTCCAGGGTGGCAGCAGAGCTGATCTGGACTTTGGCCTGTACATGAAGTCAGCTTTTTCTCTGCTTTTCTGTCTAAACGCACTGCCCTTCCCAGGCCACACCATCCCTCAACTAAATAACACCTGCAGGAAAAGATAAGCCCATCATAGATGAGATTTGATCCACTTCTCCTGCTGCTTCCCAAAGGTGCAGAACTTCAGAATACCCACAAGTCTCCTGGAACTCTAAATAAGCAAACTTAAAATCCCCGGACTAACTATTCTCAGACATACTTTTAAGCTTTGGTGAAAAGATCCATAAATTCAAACATTTGGGGATATTAAGCAGAGCTAGGATAAAACCTTGGGGGGGAGGTAGCTATGAATCTGGCCACGGGGCTTGCAATTCTAGACTTAAAGGGTGCGTCTTAAGAGGAGTTCTAAAGGAGCCCCTTGCTAATTTACACTAATGAGTGTCAATTATGGCATTTTGCAAATTGGTGAATTGGCAAACAAAGCTGGTAATAGGATCCAGGAGGCCTAGGCATCCAGGTACTGACCATAAAAGCCACATTTGACTCCAGCTTTTGGGAAAAGCTGCATCGAAGGTAAATCCAGGGCCTCCCCTCTGGATTCTTTTGTGATTTCCAGGGCTCAGGGTGAGTGGGATGGGGGAAAGTGCAGGTGGTAGATGGCATCCCCCCTCCAACTTCAGGCTGAGGCCAGAGGGAAGAGGAGGGAGCCCAGAACCTCCTTCACTTTCCCCAAGTCCTTTTGTCCTTTGTCCCACAGAAGCTGAGCCCAGTCAGATTTAAGTGCTCCTTATGAGAGAGGATGGTCTTTGCAAGAATGTATCTGTAACCACTCCACCACTGCTTCTGATTCTCCACCTACGAGCAGGGCACCATCTTATCTCTCAAATCTCCAGCAGCAGGCAGAGTAATGAGTGGCCTTGTTCTCTTTCCACACCCTTAGGTAAGCCTGTCAGCCTGAGCTACAGATGCCCGTGCCGGTTCTTCGAGAGCCACGTCTCCAGATCCAACGTCAAACATCTGAAAATTCTCAACACTCCAAACTGTGCCCTTCAGATTGTGTAAGTCTTAGCCATCCTCCTCCAAAGATGAGCACAATATAGAAAGCCTCAGACTTGGCATATTTTCGTGGCAGCTGCTACCACCATGAGGACACTGATAGGCCATCAGACATGCGTTTCAAAGGCTACTTTTGTTCCCAGAATCCTGTTGCACTCAGTGGTTCTCCAAGCTGCTTCTTGCAGCACACTGGGCTGCCTCTGCACAGAAGGAGCCATAGACTTGCCTGGGGTCAGCCCTCAACTAGGGACACTTGCGTCTGTCCTGTTAGTTTCAAGACTCTGGTGTCCCAAGTTAACCCTTTCTCATACGCAAAAAAAAAAAAAAAAAAAGGACACGAGACCTGGTTTCTGTTGAAGTCAATTCTAATCACTTGCTGAAAGGTCAACATTTTAAGATCTCTTTGTTTTCGAATCTTTCGTTTTGCTGGCCGGTGATGGCAGCTGCTAATGTTTGATTTAAATTCAGGCGGAAAATAAGAAAATCCCAAAGCATGTAAATGAGAGATGTAAAGATCTCACTTAGATTACTGGAGACTGTCAGAGATGTGCCCTGTGCTAGTCTGTCTTCCCACACCAGAGGATGCTGAGGGCTCAGTCTCCTAGGAGGGGTTCCCATCCTCAGATGACTTAACACTAAAATAGACTAAGGACACTGAAGCTGGGATAAAAGCTGTGCCGTCCAAGGGCTTTCCCTCCCAACATAACTGCTTAGGCTTTCTTTCCTTCAAGTTTCCTTCCCAGCCTTCACTGGTGCAAGTATGTTAGATACATACAGCATGCTTCAGCGACCTAGATGATGAATTTTTTTTTTAACTATTTTGATTAAAATACAATACTCTCTTGAGAAAGGTATTTTAAAGATGGTGAATTTAGTTTTGCCTGGGCCGTGCTGGTTCACTGGCTTGGGAATGGCCCTTGAACCCACAGCGCCAAATACAACTATTGGGTCTAGGTGAATACTAAATTAATAAACTGCTATACCCGGATGGGCACTTCGTGTTCCCTATTTCAAGTCACACCCCTCCTGCATGACTATTTAATTGATGGACACCTTGCTATAAGAGGGTTACCTGTCCCAGGACACTGAACAGGGGTTAGTTTTCCCAGAGACCATCAGCGGCTGGGGAGGAGTGTTCTCAGGATGTGCCGGAATTGTTTAACATCCAGGACTTTAATGGAGAATATCCTGAAGATAAGTTTATCAGTTCATCTCCCCATTAGGAAACTTTAGGGATGCGAAGAATATTGAGTCAACTTTCAACAAAGACAAGCCCATGGAGCACGCTGTGACAATTCATCTGTACTATTCTTGCCCTCCTGAACTGTCCCATTTCACCTGCATTGGTCCTCCCCTCACTGGACACCTGCAGGCTTCCCCCTGAGCTCCTCTTAATTTGGTTCTGTGTGCTATCAAGGCAACCCATTGAATTTTAAAGCGGCTTCCAGCACTTTCCTGAAGTTTCCAAGACCTTCCCCATGAAGTCACAGCCGTTTTGCCCCTTCCATGTGGCTCTTTGAGCCCCCTGTACCCACTCTTCCTCCACATCCTTTGGGTACTTGCTCCTTTAGTGTATTTGTTCTTGGTTTTCCCTCGGCTTTACCCACTTGCCAAGCTTCCTGCTTGTCCTTCAAAGGCCAGAAGCTCAAATGCCTCCACTGTGGCCTCTCCCCTGCCTCCCCTGGGAAGCATCATTAGCACATTCCTAACTCTTGGAATGGTGGACCCAATACACTTTCAGTGCTATGTCTTCCCTGTAAACCCTGGGCAGCTTTCAAACCCGAGGCTAGGGGTGGGGGATAGGGGTGGGGGCGGCAGCCGGGCCCTTCAGTGAGGACCTTAAACTGGGTGAGTTGGGTGAGTCCACGCACTGCCCCCCTCCCACTCTGCTGTACAGTGTCTCCTCTTCCGTTCGGCAGGGCAAGGCTGAAGAGCAACAACAGACAAGTGTGCATTGACCCGAAATTAAAGTGGATTCAGGAGTACCTGGAGAAAGCTTTAAACAAGTAAGCACGACAGCCCAAAGGACTTCCCAGTAGACCCCCCGAGGAAGGCTGACATCCGTGGGAGATGAGAGGGCAGTGGTGGGGAGGAGGGCCTGAACCCTGGCCACGTCGGCCAGTGGGACAGCACTGACCGGGGTCATGCTGAGGTTTGCCAGCACAAAGACACTCCACCACAGCTTATGGTACGATATTGCAGCTTCTATTCATCCGTGGCCTCGCCCAGGCACAGTGGAGCTTTTATAACTGGGGTTTTTCTAAGAAATTGTATTACTCTAACCAGTTAGCTTCATCCTCATCCTCCTCATCCTCATCCTCATCCTCATTTTTAAAAACAGTGATTACTTCAAGGTCTGTATTCGGTTTGCTTTGGAGCTTCTCTTTTCCCAGGGGCCTCTGGGCACAGTTGCAGGTGGTAGCCTTACAGGGAACCCTAGAGAGGAACCTTCCTCCAGAGCTAGCTGGAGGAACACTGCAGGGCTGGTCCTGCAGGGGGCGCCCCTCGACAGATGCCTTGCTGTGAGTCTCACGCAGCTCAGGGCTGGGCAGAGGCTACTGCCTTTGCCTCCTTTTTCCAGTTCAGTGATTGTACCTGGGTACAAACAGGAGGCTTCCTGTAGACGTTATCCCTGAGGTCTGTGCTCAGAGACCCTTTCCTAGGCGTTCCTGCTCTGTGCTTGCCTCCAAAAGCATGCTTCATCTGGCTTCTGCTTCTCAACTCTGTATCCCGAGCGACCAGTGCTGCATCAGAAGGAAGAGAGGGATTTGGGGTGCTCCCCCCTCTCTTCTCTTTGCTTTCCTCTCACTTGGGCCCTTTGTGAGATTTCTCTTTGGCCTCCTGCAGAATGGAGCCAGCCCCTCCTGGATAATGTGAGAACATGCCTGATTTACCCACAAAAAACAGGTCTGAAGAATAGTTATAAACAAAACAAAAGCTGAGAACTCCCTTTGAGGAATTTGATTTTTCTAATTGCCTCTAAGTCGTACATACACCATGGTGGCTCATGGGCTCTGAGTTTTTGAATATCAGATATTTAAAAAAGAATGAATAAGCCAGAATCTTGCCATGAAGTCCCAGTGGGGATTTCGGGTTTCAATCAGAAATGGAGACAAGATAACTTGGATACATACTTATGATCACAGATGGCCCTGGTGGTTTTGGTAACTATTTGCAAGGCATTTTTTACATATATTTTTGTGCACTTTTTATGTTTCTTTGGAAAACAAATGTATTTCAGAATATATTTGTAGTCAATTCATATATTTGAAGTTGAGCCATAGTAATGTCAGTAGATACTCTATGATCTTAAACTACTGGCAATTTGTAAAGAAATATATATGACATATAAATGTATTTCAGCTTTCCAATGTCCGCCACAGTGTATTTTTCCACTTGTACTGAAATTGTATCAACTGTGACACTATATGCACTAGCAATAAAATGCTAATTGTTTCATGCTGTAAACCTCCTACTGTATGTGGGAATTTATTTACCTGAAATAAAATCCATTAGTTGCTAGATGGAGTGCATATACATTTCTGAAGATTGCAAAACACAGCCGACCTGTGGGTCAGGCACTGTGTCTTGCCCTGCAGTCTCGGGGTGAGCGACCCTGTGCGGGCTTGTCTCTCGTGAGCAGGCTGAGTCCGCAAGGAAAGTTTTTGTGTATTTTTTTTTAAGCCAATGGAAGTAGAACTCTAGTCTTCTGATGAATAATCCTCGACTCACTAATTCCTCCTCCTCCTCCCTCGGTCCTCCTAACATCCTCATGTAATCCTGACTCAACCCCAGTAATATCAAGCTTTCCTAGTTTCCCATGTAAAAATCCCATGACTCCAGGCCATGTTAATATCAAGCTTTTGTGGGAACAGGTGGCCTCACCCCATAAATCATTAAATACCATTCAGCTTGAATCATTTTAATGTGACAGTCACAAACCAGTTGCTCTAATAAAACTCTGCTAACCATCTCTCTCCCTAGCTCTCTAGAACAATCTCAGTTATCCCTAGGGATGCTCCCCGGCATCCAGAAAAGAGCCGCGGGATCAATCATGCTGCCTTTCCTAGCCTCCCTCTCCTGGAGGGCTGCCTGAGCCTGGGGCCTCCAACCTCCAGTGCTTTGTTTAATTTGAAATGCAGATTTGTAGCGAAGGCAGAGTTCACCTCTGCCTTGAAAAGGAAGGCAGACCCCCGGCTTCCTTCCACACCCTCAGAGATGTGCATTCCTGTGAGATTTGGCCTGGGTGGTTAAGAACCAGGACCCGCCTGGCAAACTGACAGTCCCCGTGGGCAGTTCCCGGGTCATAGTGTTAAGGCACCCTGCCTAACTTTTGGGTGGTGGGAAATGTCTAGTTTATTTTAATTAATTGCTTATGAGCCTCATTTTGCCAAGGGGCCTCCAGGCCTCAAACTGAAGACAGTAAAATTGGCTCATGAGGCAATGCTAACTATTATGTGAACTGAGATACACTCCTATGTGCTGCAATGTGATTAATGGTTCTACTAATTTTATCTAAGGGGGCGCAGAGAAGAAAAAGTGGGGAAAAGAGAAAAGATAGGAAAAAAGAAGCGACAGAAGAAGAGAAAGGCTGCCCAGAAAAGGAAAAACTAGTTACCTGCCTTCCTGCAGATGGACCGCAGTGCATTCTGCTCTGGCGCTTTCTAACACGCCCTTCCCTCTTCAGGGGCAGACCCCACACCCCGGGCAGGTGCTCACACTTGATGGTAAATTCTCCCCTCTTCCCCGGGGCAGACCCTCACACCCTGGGCAGGTGCTCAGACTTTCCTGCCCTGGTGGCCACACCAGCTGCTGTATTTATGTGCTTCTTAAGGCTCTGCTCCGCCTGCTAAGCTATGAAGAAAATAGATGTCCAGAGCCTGGGGTGGAGGCTGAGCCCCAGAGGACCTGCTGAGCCTGGCAGCATTGCCCCGAGCTGAGCCCCTGGCCAGGAGTTCCCAAGGCTCACACCCAAAGTCCACAGTGCTATGAAGGCCAGGGTGGTCTGCTTAGCCAGGAAAGGGCGTAATGCCTTCCCCTCAGCCATATACTGCCCCTTGTGGCCTTCTCAGGACATGAGGTGATTGACTTGCTCTCAGGTCCACGACAAGCTTTTCCAAGTACCTGCAGCCCGGAAAGGAACTTCCGCCCTGCTCCCCTGGCTGTGTGAGCAGCTTTGCCTCCAGCCCAGAAGGGTTTCTGCAGACTGTTGGGTGAGCGGGAGGAATGATGAATTCTCAGAAAACAGATGTGAGCTGCTTCTCAGGGAATCTTTTCTTTGGACAACTCACGTTAGAGTCTTTAAACGGGTCCCTTATGGGGAGGACAGATGTGCTCTGGAACTTACACAGAAGGGCCAGCAGCTTCAGGGACTTTCAGTCTGTCCTTTTGGTCCCAACATCCCTGGGATGGTGTCTTATCTGGGCACAGCTGCCTCAGTCCTAACTCCTGAGAGATGTCTGCCTTCAGTGAATTGGGTTCAAGTTCTGTAACATTCTACTCTCCCATCCCACCCTCACCTGGCAATTTATGTCTGTCCTTTTGCCAGTTTGGATGGGAGGAATAGAGGGCAAAGTTCTGATTTTAGTGGTGTTTTGAAAGAGGATTCTCTGAATTTTTTGACCCTCTTCTTCACCTCGTGTACACATACACATCTTGTACTCCCGACTTCTGGGTATAATGTCCATAATTGGGGCAGAAACAAGAAAGGATCTGAAAATGCAGCAAATGGATTGCAGAGGAAGGCCGCCCAGGGGCCCCATGTGTCACAGTCTCCTGGGTCCCTAAGTCCTGTATCCATTGGTGTGCTTCTTATGGTTCTAGCATTGAACAGATGCATCCCTTCATGGTTCTTATGGGGACGTGTCTTGCTAGGGAGCTTCAGAGAAGACCTGTGTTACCAACTGTTACCCTTTATGTGGACAGCTCAGCCAACCATATCCTCTCCTCAGCTCTGAGGGCACCTCTTCAGGCCAAGGGTCACTACCCGTCCTTCTTGTGGTAGCAGCTGCAGTCTGGGGTCAGAGTGGCCTCAGCTGGGGCCTTCCTACTATTACTAAAACACTTCTGAAGGACAGATCTGTGCCCAAGCCACAGCTCTGTTTAGGAAGGGATGCCTAGCCCCTCTAGGACTGGGAAGAACTGCTGTCCCCTAGCAACCAAAGGCAAAGCTGAGGCTGCCCTGAGGTAGGAGACCACTTTCAGAAATGCCCATGGACTTTGCCTCCCACCATCCATCTCCAAGTCCTAGAGGAGCTGGCTGCAGAGACTAAGAGAGTAGACCATCCCTTACGAACCATGGCAAGCTCCACTTGTCTTTATGTGGCTCCTGGGAGCCCCTCTGTGCTTAAGTGGCTTATGAAGCCCTTATAATGGGCAACCCCAGCCTGCTGGACAGAGTCACCATGGAAATGCCCGAGAAGCTGATTTCATCTTGTGATTGGTTGACGTAGGATGTGCTCCTGCAAGTTCACAGGCAGGTGGGAGGGGTGGTCCCTACAGTGTCCCACACAGATGCCTTCTGGGAGAACATGCAACCTCCTGAGTGCCAAGACCTCTTCTGGTGATGTGGCATCAGCCAAGGGATTTCAAGAAAGAATGAGTTTTTGATGCAAGTTGTGCGATCTGCCTCTTTTCTTGGAGCTCTGAGGTCCGGGGATGTCCGGGGACGCCTCGGCTGCTGTTGCTGGGGTGGATACATCGCCTCAACACCAGTGTCCTGGGGTTAAGGCAGTGCGCCTGGTCATGTCCTCCTTGTACCATGCCTCCCATGCCAGTGTTTGTGTGTGCCTTACCCTGTGCTTGCCGTGTTCATCTGTCTCCTCTGCTTCCCACCGCCATCCAGACTCTGAGCATCAGCCCTGGCTGTGCCCTTCCCTGCTTGCCCACTCTCTCCGGCCTCGGAAGGAAGACACATGACAGCCAGCTGAAATAAGGAGTAGGGCCATGGCTCCTGCCAGGCCACGCAGCGTCCCAGGCACGTGGTGGTGAGAATCTGCCTTAATCGTGTCTCCTCTGTTCTTGTCAACAGGAGGTTCAAGATGTGAGAGGCGTGGGTCAGACGCCTGAGGAACTTACAGAAGGAGCCTAGGTCTGAAGTCAGTGTTAGGGAAGGGCCCACAGCCACTTCCTCTGCTCCTGAGCAGGGCTGAAGCCATTTCCAAGGGACTTGCTTTGCACAGTTTGCTGTATTTTCACCATTTGATTATGTAGCAAGATACATGGTGTTTATTTTTCATTTAGTCTGATTGTCCAACGTCATTGGTGACAGGCCGAAGCCACTATATTATTTCCTTTGTTATAGTATCTCTGCCATGGTGGACCTTCTCTGAATAGGGCTCCCCAGGTTTGTCTCTTTGAGCTGAGACAGGAGGCTCACCCCTTTTCTTAATGGGAACTGGGTGTCCCAGCCCCAAGGATTGCAGGGCTCTCCCAAGCTGAGGCAGGACTGTGAGGTCAGGAAGAGTGAGATCCACCCTCATCCCATGCTCTCCTCCTCATCATTCATCATGCTCATCATTTCCCCTCATCCATCATCCTGTGTCTCCAAGACTGTCTCCGTGACCCTGAACAAGGACTCTGTCAAGATGAAATCTTTTGTTCAAATGGGACAGCAAGAAAGAAAGGAAAAACCCTGTGCACATGTATGTCTTGTTTGAAATATTGTCTGTTCAACCCCCTGCTTTTGTTCAAAGTCCGTGTCCTCATTCATGACCAATGTCTCGTTCATGCACTGTCTCTAACCCAGATGCAAAGGCTGAGTCTGAGGAGCTGGCCCTGAGGTCCAGGCTGTGCTCATGGAGGATGCAAACAGCTTGGTTTCCTCGCTGCTCACAGTGTTACTTTGGACAAAGCCAAAGGAAGGAGGTTTGCACCAGCACTTAGCTCTGAGGACTGCTGACCCTCAATATTTCCATAACTGTTACCTTAAAACTATGGAACTGTGGTGTTCTCTTGGCTGGCCTCAAACTCAGCATTCTATTGTGGAATAGCAGTTATTTTTTAAAAGTCAGTGAATCAAAGAATCAACCCTACATTGATCTTCCTGGCCATTGGCACTGCTGCCATCCCTTCCCTTACAGGTAGTTTCTGGGCATCTTTGCTGTCACAGATGAATCACATCGTGTCCCTTTCCTGCAGCCTAACAGATGGGGTTGATGCTGCTGCTTGAAGTGTGGCCCTGGAGGTGTTTTGTCCTCCGCATTTTTTATGCAGCCAAGCTCACTAATGCTACCCCTCTGACTAAAGCACAGTTGGAGTCCACGGTTCTTCAAATGAAAAAGATAAACTAGAAGAGGAAGAAGAGAAAGGGGAGGGTTGGCTGGACACCCAAGTCAGATGGAGGAAGTAAGCTACAGTAACAGAATTATCAAAAACAGGTGTTGGAGAGGGAATCATCTGTAGAACTGTTATGTTAGCGGTGTGTATGTGGTGGGGGCATTTCTATAAATAGTCCTTTAAATTGACTTTACAGAAGAAGGAAAATCCACCCAGGAAGATTTCGATCAAATTGGAACAAAAACTGAAATGCTTATGCCAGTTAGGATGTGGGGCATGAGGCCAGCTGCAGCGACGGATCCCCATAGGGATACGGAATTGTCTTGAGCTCCCTTGAAATGAACATTCAGTGCCCCTGAAGTAGATACCACACTTTTGCAATGTTAGTGAAGCGGCCACTTCGCATCTAACCCAAGGTTTTAAGGATGCTGCTTGGAAACCAGTACAAGCCTCCATCTTCACTATAGTTACGGATCCTTTCAGTGTCTCCACAGGAGGAAAAGATGAGGCTAGAACTGTAGGGAGACTTATTTGTGTATGAATTCCTCTGCTAACCATCAGTTTCTGAATGGAGACAGCCTGCCTAAAGCAAATATGCATTTAAATAGTACATTTACATAGGAAAAGTCTTCCCACCTTAATCCCTCATCCCCTCGCTTTCAAAATACAAGCCCAGCCCCTCAGTGAACTGTTGTTGACTGGGGACATCTAGCTGTCCCTGCTGGAACTCATACCTCCCACATGCCATCTTCCCTTGGGCATCAAGAACCTGCCAGGCGGGCGGCCCCTCTGTTACCAGCCTTTGCATCTGGATAGGGAAAGGGGGTTGGAGACTCAGTCTGCTTTGTGTTGAAACCCAGATTTGTGCCTTGTGTTGTTTACACTGTGCTGCTGGTTCCCGGGGACGGTGGGTCACTAGCAAGGAAGTGCAGCAGGGCCCTCTGCATCATTGCCTGCTCAGCTTTGAGAGGGGGTCTCAAGAGCAGAAGGCTGTGTTCCTTCTTGGAACCTGGCCTGGGATCTTAGGCCTCTCCAGTGGGTTCTGTGGACCTTCTCATGTGTGGTTTTCTCATCAGTGGTATCACCAGGGACCTCCTCACAGGGGCAAGTCACCCTCCCCCAGGTAATGCATTCTTTTGCAGCTGGGTGAGGACTGGGGGGACTGTTCCTTACACAGCTTCCCTGATCCATCTTAAGGAAGATGATCTCATTCCTCAAAATGTTCCATAGAAACCTCCAAATCCCCCAGGAGACTCCTGCCATTGCCAAGTTCACAAAACCAACCAGCAGAGTTACTGCCAACCTCGATGGGCTTCCGGTGTCTGAGCAGCGATGGTTCAGTGTTGCATGTGGTGAATACTGTATTTTGTTTCAGTTTTGTCTCCCAGATAATGTGAAAATGGTCCAGGAGAAGGCAGCTTCCTATATGCAGTGTGCTTTTCTTATTCTCGTTTTTAATATATGACAGTTATTTGAGAAGCCATTTCTACTTTGAAGTCATATCAATGGAAATGATGTATCTTCACCTACAGTTTTCCTAATAAAGATCTGTATTCAAATACAGCTGCTAAGAATTTGCAGTGAACGTTGCCGTGTGGAATTTTCCACACTTGGTTTTGCCCCCTCAAACCTGACTCTGGGGGTCATGCAGTCTTAGCAGAAGAGCTTACAGGTAACAGGCCCTCGTAGTCACAGTCCTCGGTCTAACTGCCAGTACCAGACAATGTCTAAGGGAAAGGTGTTCCCTTTTCTCCAGATGACCCAAATTGCTCCTTAGAGGCCAGCCGGTCTTTCACTGTACAAGCAATGGCTTAGGGTCAAGTCACAAGAGTTTGCCCAACAGCTGTCAGGGAGGAAGGCCCACCCTGCACACATAGGTGGTGGTAGAAGTCAGCAGAGGAAGGACTCTGTCCCTCACACAGCTGGAAACCACAGCATTCTGCATGGTCCTGTCCTTTTCCAGCTAATGGTAGCCAAAGGTTGATCTACTGGCTGCTTCCTCCACAGAGCCCTTGCCTCTTAGTTTGATCTGCAAATTCTCTCTAGTCTACATTCAGCCATTTAGTAAAGCACCAAGCTCCAGATGTCTAAGTGTACAATGTTAGTAGCCCAGACATCACCACATCACCTCAGAACGGTAGAAAAGGCCCACCCCTGTGTTCCCAGAAGGTTCCCTTCTTCCTCCTGTGCTGTGAAGTTCACAGAGCTAGAATAGGGCGTGAATTTACTTCTCAAACAGCCCCATCAGTCAAAACTCCAATGACGAGGTTGAGCCCACTCCCCCTTTTTCCCCACCAGTGGTAGGGGGATAGGAGGAAGCTTTCCATTGGTCCATGTGGGCTCCTTGGGGTCACAGCAGTGTTCTCTCAAGAGCACTAAGCTGCTGTTCCAGCGCCAGGACCTGATAACCAATCCCCACTGCAAACAGTCCACGTCCACAACCCACCATGCCATTTTCCCTAAGTGCAAGGAAGAGGCACTTCCGTACATCACAGGACAGCCAGTGTGAGGGAAGCTCAGAGCGGAACAGCGTCTAATTTAGGCTACAGTCAAGGCTCCCTGGGACATGAGAGAAAGTATGTTCTTTTGAGAGCCAGTCTACTGGCACATTGGAACTCGGAGGGCCCATGGGGTGTCTGCATGAATTAGAAGCAGCAGTTGCTCCATAAGGGCTGCACATGGGGAGTCCAGCATAGCCAATGGAGTGAGAGTAACCAGATGCATGGCCACCCTTGGCCAGCTGTGGGCCAGTCTTGTTGCAGGGGTACAGAGAGATGTTTCAAACAGCCTCACATTCTGCTTCTCTTTCTCTGCTCACACTGAGAACTTGACACTCAGGACTGCAGACACTTAGAGGAGAAGCAGAGAAGGCTAAACCTTGATCTACAGGACTGGGGGGCGGGGAGGGGCCGTGGATAAGAGACTAGTGAGCCTACAGCAGAAAGGCTCAGAAGACATTGGCATTGGTCCATACTCCTTGCCCTGGGCTTTCTGTACTCTAAGTCTACTTCCATCCAGAATAAAAACTTCTTCCAATAACACCAAAAAGCCATTTCTAAGTCCATTAGGCCAAGTGGACCAGGTATGGAGGCCACAGACTAGAGCTTGTACAGGGGGTTGCTAGGGATCTCCTGACCCCTCTGCCAAGCTTCCCAGGGATCTTATAGCCCATTTCATGGTTTCAGATGGAATTCCAAGGAAAGATTATTGAGCCCCCAGAAGTGTCCTAGAGTATGCCGGCCGCCCCAGGTTAATCAAAGACTCAGAGGCATTGACCGTGCTCTCCCCATATAGAACATGCTCCAAGTCCATTTAGAGCCTGGATAGTCTTCCTTCCCTGAAGATACTCACCAGCACCAAGCTGACTGGTCCAGAATCACCTGTAGAGATACAGTTGAACATCCACTGGCCTGTCTAGAGCTACAGCCCCAGGGGTGCCTGACAGGTCTTAGAATCCACTCCCAGTCTGTGTGTCCAAGGATAAACCGAAGCCCATGAGTTTCCAGGTGAAGTCCGTCCTGGAGTGCCCTGCTGAGACATAAGCTCCAGGGGTCTTGTATGAGTACTTATTCCCAGTACCTGATCATGATGGGTGTTTAGAGTATGCTTGAAGAGAGAATTGATGTCCACAAGCCAACACCAACAGCAAAGGGCTAGCGCTCTTACTGGGCCGTAATCTGCTCTCAATTTTCAGCAATGGTGCTCTGTTAAGTTTTGGGGTAAACAGTAGTGTCTACTTCTTGGCCCTTGAGATCAAATAGGAACAAAGCAGAGAGAATCCACGCCCTTCTGTTGTTGCTGAGAACGGAAGGGAGCCGGCTGGGAGGGGGGAGGGCAAGAGATGCTTAGGCATTCCGATTTGTAAAGAGCATAGTTACTACGGACTGCTGGATGACTCATGGAATGCTGGATGCGGCAGAGGGCCAATTGTAAAATGCAGCAGACAGTCCATGAGGTGTGGGACACCCTTAATAATCAAGTAAGAGTACTTACCCGTCTTCTAAGCAACATTAACTGTCTATCATTTGTAAAGGTAGGTTAAGACTTCATTAACAATGGCAACATTTCACTGTCTAAGTTACCATGAACACATGTAATGTCTGATGGTGCCAATCTGAGTGCCTGTCCTTAGAAGATAACACAACTGGAAGCCACAAACCTTGCTAAAAATTAAAGACGTACATGCATACAAACATCAAGAGCCCACATGGGCTTATTTTCTGCAATATTGTGGCATGATATATAGTCATCTTCAAAACTCACCCTCAAGAACCTTGCAATCAAGTTACCAAAAATAGTCCCATAATGTTTTAAACAAGTTTGTGGTTTTGTATTAGGCTCCCTTTATAGCTGTCCTGGGTTACACACAGCAGGTTGGATGGCCCTGCTCTATATCAACATGCCAACATATACCTGGTGAAAATAATTATTGTGGTTGGGGAGATGCTTCAGTGGTTAAAAGAACTTTCCACTCTTGTGGAAGACCCAGGTTGGGTAACCAGTACCCACATAATAACTCATAACAGCCTGTAACTCCAGTTCCAAAGGCTCTGACACCCTGTTCCCTCCTTAGAACATACTAGAACTCATGTGGTGTGCATAGCTACATGCAGGCACTAACTCACAGGTACACATAGA